AAAATGGAGGGGAGTAATGCAGGCTTTCATTTAGCAAAAGGAAAATCAGCGTGTTCACGCAATGAAATTTGTTCGGAAGAAGAAATGGAAAAATGGGCTGTGGAATGGAGGCAGTGATTTGTGGCCTCACTATGGCTGAAAAAGATAGATGAGGCTGGCACTGGAAGAAAAACAAACAAAAAACCAAGAACCTCCCTCTGCCCTGCCCTCCTTCCCCTCCACCCCCAAAACAAAATAGGAACCAGCACTTCACCCATGTTTTCAAAAAACACATATGAAAAGCTAGGGGGTGGGAAGGAGAAGAAGGAAAGAAGAATATTGGACTTGGTAAAGAGCAAGCAGATGTCAAAATGGGAACTTGTGGGAATGAAGAGGGTAGCCATAGTTGCATGGGCAATACTGGCATGGAACAGAAATGTTTTATCTGGAAAAAGACTAAAGTATATTTTATTTTTCATGTATTGGTTTGACCACCTTGTGTTTCAACAAAATCTATTTTCATTTAGATTGTGCTTGATGATGTGTCTCTGATTACTTTTTCTGTGCTGGAAGGCATAGAGCCCTAATAAAAGCTCAGTTTGCTTTTTGGAAACATCATTGCCATGATTCATACTGACAATAATGATATATGTTAATACATAATTAGGGATACGGCAGCCAGGGTAAGCAGACCTAAGATTGCACTGCCGTAGGAAAAGGTGGTGCCATCCCTCTTTTCAAAATCCTCCTCGCCAGCTAGCTGTGCCCCCCCTCCATCCCTGATACGTTGGCACTACCATGCTGTGATTGTGCAGCTAGATGGATCAGCTTGCTAATCATTTTGGTGACAGCATGAACTTAGATCAGCTTAAAGCTGATTGTGGAAGCATATTCTCTAATCCTGTGAGTACTCTGAATAAGCATGAACCTTCAATGCCACTGAAAGAAGTGGTCCAGCCTCCTCCCCTGCTGGCACAAGTATTCACGTAGCCACTTGGCTACAGGCCATTTTGACTGTCAGTGAGAGGGTTGACATGATCCCCCCTCCCCTCGTCCCCAGATGCTTGTTCTCACCTCCCTGCCTGAACCAGCCGCAGCATTTGTGCAGCTGTGCAGGGAGCTAGGTCAGGAGAGGTGAAAATGGCATTGGGGAGGGCAGGACTGCCCATTTCGGCTGCAGCGCAGACTTATGTTGGATTAAAATGGCTGCGTTACCAGAGCCTGGCTGAACTAAATGAGAAAACTGATTTTGGCTAAAACCAATCTTTCTCTCTCTTCCCTCTTCTGTGTGCTGCACGAACAGCTGTGTCTGTTCAATGGAGAATGTGGGGAGGGCCAGCTGTGAGCACTCGGGAACTGCAGTGTAAAAGCAGGGGATACCGATGAATTGCACTGATGTTCTTAATAGATGCCTTAGCTAAGAAAGGGCTGGAAAATTATAACAGAAAATAAACAGCTGGAACGTTAAGGGACAAGATATCCCTCTTTGTCCCAACCCTGAAAGGGAAAAGGGGGAAAAAAGGCAGCACCTTGAAGAAGGAGAAAAAACCACCACAGACATTCTTAATTAATTAGTTGTTACCAGGATTTCGCTACATTTAACACACAAGACACTACTAAAATCACCTCCAGCAGATCACACTGAATGAGACAACTTGAGTAGTAACATCTTAACTGGCAAATGATTTTCTGTTTAATGTAAAGGTTTTTTAAGACGAGGGTTACTGTAGGAACTGTACAGACCTACTGTGTGAGACTCTCCGTGCACCAAAGCAGTGTACTTCTGCTGTGTTCAGTAGAGGCACCCCGATATACACCAACCGGGTGATCACCCCCTTGGTTATACTTTAGATATCATTTACCTGGAAAACTTTTACATGTACTACCTCGGCAGACAAGACCTGTTACAATTATGTTAGAACAAAGTTTAATTTCAGCAGAGATCATAATGTATTAACTCCTTTAGTGGTGTTACCTGTTGCTCTGTTGAAGACTGTGATTTGGTCTGGTTTATACTGTACCACCCCAACATATTCTATTTGTCAAAGGCTGTCATGTCCTCATGTAGCTTTTACAGAGCAAACAAAACAAAGTGACTTTCAGTAACTTTCTAATTAGATAATAAAGTAGTTGTAATATGTCATTCTGCAGGCCTTGTGTATTTGAAAATTAAAGGCAAAGTTAGTACTGCTTAATCATTGATACAGACAGCAGGCTGCCTTTTTATCATCATCCATGCAGTGTGGAGAAAATGAAGAAATGCTTTTCTTATTGAGGAAGAAAGTCAAGTAGTAGCAGCTGAAAATGAAAAAGAAGATTATAGGAACACAGATACTTCCAGAGTAAAAGCAGCTACTACTACAGGAGGGATAATATTTATTTCAATCTTGAGGTTTCTTTTTTCTCTTTCAATAATACAAATATCAGCTTAGTATTTTAAAAGGTGCCTAATTCTTAAGTGACTTAGAAACTGAAAAAGATTTGTTAAAGAAATATGATTCAGAATGAATCACTGAAACAAACATGGAGCTTAGGCCAAAGATCAGAGTTACAGTCTAAATAGTTTTTGAATTTAGGCTGTCAGCTTTTAAAGCCCCGCTGACTTTCAATGAGGTTTAGGATTATAACCAACTTTTGGAAAACTAAACTCAGGCTACCACGTCACTTACTTAGGTACCTCTTGACAATTTTACTGTTTTTTTGCTGTATAGGATGACACAAGCACATATTATCTCCTTTTACATATATCAACATGCCCAATGTGTGCATGTCCGTATACACAATATATATATTTACCTACCAAACCCATAGACTCAAATCATAATCACGTGAGAAATTCTTCATGAACCTTTGATAACATCATTAGCATTTTTGCCAATAATCTGTCTCCCCAGGACTTAGCCTAATATTCCAAATCCATGAGCAGCTTCAAGAGCTGCTATTTAAAAATTAATTACCGATCTGCTTAAAAGACATTTTCTTCTTTCCAAATGTGAGATTTCTTCCTTTTCCTGTCTGCCTCAAATTTATGTAAAGCTCAAGCTGTTTTTACCAGTTTCATGCTAGTAACGGGTTTAAGATACAGGTTCAATATACTGTAAGTGAGAAGTAAAAGAATGCTTTTGGCAATTTAGTGGTGTACTTACCACTTTATTTGACTTTGTTCAGGTCTGGTGCCAGAATGCTAGGCTTAAACTCTGTAATCTTATATTCTTTCATTATAGAAAATATATCATAAAGATGCATTCTTTACTGAAGAATTTTTCTCTTGGTTGGCCCCTGTCTTAAGTGCGCATTGAAAGACTTTACATATGAAAGCACTCAACAGGCAGTCTCAATATGAATTTTAATTCTCTACAAAGTATTACAATATTTTTTTTCTGAAAAAAATGCTGTAAAGAATATAAAATGTTGGTATAAATGTTTCACATTTGCAATGACCTGCATAACACAGTCATGGCTTTGCTACACCCAATACGGCCATTCCTAACTCATGGAAATGAAACTTTTTCCTTATATGATGCTAAGGCATTATGTTTTTCCCTTTTATATGCATCTCTATTTACAAACATAGACTTATAGAGGCATAGAGTCTTCACAGTGTGAACATACACGCCACATACACACAAGCTATTTTTGAAGAAACTACTAAGACATTTCAATACCAGCCAAACATATTTATCTGAGGATTAATCTTCATCTATTGAATCAGACGAGAACACTGCCATGCATACAATTATTTAATTAGCAGCCAAATCCTCTGCCAGTCAGCAGCCGTTTCAGGCATACTGATGGGGCAGTAGATGCAAATCTCACAGTAGTACTGCTTTTTCTCATTACTACTGCAATTAGCACTTAAATTGATGCTTTAAACATACTAATTTCTGGAATAATTCAGGATTTGTATGTTACCTGGGATCGCCTCACTGCAGAGACGACACCAGATTGCTACGCAAATTGAAGCACTTTTGAGCCAAATAACCATCATCATATCAGACAGAGCCAATTTGCATTTGCTTTTAAAGATAACAGAATGGCAATTTATGCAAATAAATTAAGTAAGTTTACTTCTGAGTTCTCCCTGAACTAATTATAACAATGTTCTAATTTTTTATCACATCTGAAAGTTGGACTGAAATCAATGTGTATTATGTTAGAAATCTGTTGTTAAAGGAAGCCTTGTTTTGATGTCAATACATTTTCTTAATTCAAAATTTTGATGTTAATTTAGTTACAAATGCAGATGTCTGTTATAGACATTTAAATACTTTTCCTCTTGTTTGCATACCAGTAAAAGGTTTAACTGAAGCTGAACAGTCAAACACAGGACATATTGCTGTCCTTTTAAATATTCAAATAAAAAACATTTTAAATATAGCTTTTGAAGTTTTCATATTTCATACATTTATTTGAAATCAATAGGCTTAGCATGTGATGAATACTATGGAATACAGCTGCCCTTTGCTGGAAATGGCTTGAAAACCAAACTGAAAATAAGACTGCAGCAGCCTCAACATTTTGAGGTAGTATTTTTTTCTTCCTCCTGTGAAGTGTGAAAATTTCATCTGCTTTTCTGTTTCAAATAGAAAATGAGTGCTGGATCATTTACTAAGGGTATTGTCAGAAAAAAATGGTGTTTGACAGACCACTTCAGAAACCAGCTACGATGACAATTGCAATGCATGTATTCCTAGTGCATAGCTGGCTATGAAAAGGTGGATAACACTCAGCAGATTGAATGACCTAGAGAAGCATCTTTAGAGCAAAGAGCTGTGGTAATATCAGCCATAAAGCAGACTGTTACTGGTTAGCAGGGAATAAGTGAAAATAATATTAAGAAAACAGGCAGAGAAGAAACCCTGTAAAGCTAGCAGTACCTTGAAATCAGAGCAATGAATGTATTGCACTTTATACAGAACATCACATGATATTTGCTGAAGGGAAGTGAAGAGAGTATTTCTTTTCCCAACTACTCTTCCTTTCCAATCATGTTGATAATGACCATGGATAGAAAGTATTACCTGTGAAGTGTGTGCTGTTTGCAATTCACTGTCCACAATGGAAGCAAAAACATTCTCTTTTCCTTCACAGGCAGCCATTAGTTCGGGAAGACACTCGATAGGTCCTTGGTAACCTCCATGCACACTCTTCCTTTTGCCTTGGCTCCACTTCCTGATACAGACAGCAAAACATATGCCCAGGGAGGGAAAGCAAACATTTGTTTTCAGTTGTTTTGGTGGTAAAACTTGATACTGGTTTCTGTTATTAAATGCTGGTCATTTATTTTTGGGTAGCATTACTTACTGCATCTTCTAGGCATCTACAGAGCTTAGCATTATCTATGATATTAAGAGGGATACTAATGTATTTTTACAATGGATTAAAATAAAGAGATAATTAATATACTGAGTTAGATTTGTTAGGACTTGGAACCCTCCCAGTGATCTTTTGTTAATTTGTCTGGAATCATGGTTCTCAAAATAATCTGTGAGGGTTAATTAATCAATGAATATTGAAAACAGAAACAGAAAATCCATTTGGGAAAGCATCACTGTGAAAGAATAAGTTCTGCTTCTGGTGCATTAATGATGATTCTTGGGCACAACAATGACATTCAAACACAAGCTGCAGAGGTGGAATGAAATTGCAAACCTGCAAATGCTTAGAATAATTACATACCGAAAAAGGTAAAGGTGTTGTAGCTCTATATTGGGCAAAGTAAGCAGGGAAGAGTCATGTATCCATCTACCCTGAACCACCATCTGCACCAGATTGGTTATATTCAGAGCAGTCACCAGCCAGCCATGATGTGCTGCAACATCCAGCATTGCCTAATCAAAGGAGACATATATAAAAAAAAGAAAATGCAAGTATAATTGTGTGCCTGGTTCATACAAGTGAAAGCATTTATTTACTGTTTAACACAGAGGAATTTCTAGGACTTCAACATAGGAATTTACTTTAGGTGCAGCAGGCACCTTTTGAATTAACCTTTAAAAAAGATGGATTAAATCCTGCATCATCATCATCATCAACTCTTACCCTTGAAAAGGTAATTTATACCATGTTTTTGGGGGTGAGAGCAGAGGGTGGGATTTCTTCCTTACAAATAACCTCCCTTTTACAAAATCCAACTCAGAATGAAAGGAATAAATGTCAAAGTTTACTGTAAAGGAAGAAGTTACAATTAACTGCAGAATTGGTTTGTATTTTGACATGAGAGCTTTGCCGGAATGGCATATTTATTCAAAACTCCTTGAACTATTTAAGAACAAAACCAACATATTTACATTTGTTCAAAAATTAAAGCCACTTACCAGTAGCAGTTATTATTCCCACTTTAACCTAAGGACTTAAAAAATCTCTTGAATTGGACTAGATAAAACCCCTAAAATTTAGCTTAATGAGCATTTTTGAGGTTTTGTTCAACACTGACACCTAACTTGAAATCTTGAAGAAAGATTACAAAATAGCTAATGGTTTACCTAGGGTGAGTAAGAGCAATCAGAAATAACATGGATTTCACCCTTTGCATTGTAAACAGTTGATTGTCTTGAGAATGAGGGATGCTTGGCTGTCTCTCTTTTTGCATCTCTATCCTGAATCTGAAAAGCTTTCCCAAAGTACATAAAAAACCCAAGCAAACAAAAAACCCCTATCCAGCTACACATCACACTTTAAAATGTTAACGATCATCCTGCCTTCAATGTCTGGTGAGTTTCTGTTCCATTTCTACTTATTATGTTGTAGACAATACAAGTAAAAGGTATACTATAAGTATCACTAGCATAAAGATCTAAATCTGCAAAATTCATTATGGATTGTGCATTGCGAGTGGCCCTGTTGACATGAAAAAATAGTTATGCTTGCTTTTTTCCTGACTGGACTTAAATTCTGTTTGGTTAGTCTGAAAGAGAATTTAAGAGTTCTTCCAAAGGAGAAAGGATCAAACATGAGCTTTTGATTTCAACACAATTTTTTTTAATAGTAAATGCAGTTATTTGAATATATACTTTTCACCCTGTCTAGAGTACATTAAAACAATTACGATTTATAGAAGCATTTCAGCTGGTGAAGAAAATTATGCTTAATATGTTAGTTGTCTTGCTTACTTTGTTGTTTAATACCTTTACAATCACAATAAAGTGTGGGTCTTCATATTACAACACTCTAACTCAGTAGAAAGTCATGTGTTTAAAAGTGGTTTGCCATGTAGGAAATTTGGAGTTTGATTAAAATACTAGAAAATGTTTTTTAAGAAAGCAAGAAAAGGGTCTGGTATATTGAACAGTTTCAACACTTCTTTAAATACGATCTTCTTGATATTAGGAGAGCTGTAGTTTGATTTTGGGACTAGGCTTAAGATGTTTCCATGGGTTTTTCTTTTAAAGACAAATGATATTGTTTGATACTTCCTTATAAAGCAGATATCTGCATCATTTTAACTTATTTTCCACCACTAGTGTAATGAGGAGAAGCTGTCTATGTAAGTCTTTACATTTAATCAAATGTTTTACAGACAAACAAAAGGCAGCATTTACTTAAGGCAAACTAAACAGTGAAATCTTCTTTAAACAAAGGAGTTGTTTACACACGCAGAGCTATTTCAATTAAATTACACTGATTCTGGAGAAATACTGAGTTTAAAGACACAAGTTAGTTTCAGTCCTGGCCAGTCACACAGTTTATTTTAGCAGTTTACAATGCAATTTCAACAGGTTTTATTCCAGATCAGGGTGATAAGATCAGTGACACTTAGAAAAATATTTGAAGTGTCACCCTGTATTACACAAATGTTGTCTCATTTCTCATGAGTTGTGCATAAAGTGCCCTTCAGCTAATAAAGATCTAGATTTAACATTTAACTTGCCTTTTTTGAAGGAAGAGCCATAGCACCCTGAAACACCCTAATAACGTTCCTAGAAATAGTACCTCACAGCACAACATTAATGGTTTTCTTTTTCTGTCTTTTCACTTGGCTTGCCAAGGTGACTTCCAGGTATGATTGATTCTTTTTACCCAATACAAAATAAAATTATGTTAGAAGTCACATTTGAAAGGAGCAGCTTCATGGCCTGTAGATTTATGTGTTGGTTCACATGATTTTTAGTCAGATAAAGAGGGAATTGTTCTCGGCACGTATCAGAGTGAAGTCCATCTTTTAAACTTACAGGGCGAGCCGCTGTTTACCCGCTTCCACATTTTAAAATATATTGAAGCCTACACATATGGTACAGTCCGTGTCTCTGAGCGTGTTGCTCAGACATATGGTATCTCTTTCCTATTCTCCACTATCTGGTTCTTGTTCTTTCCTTTCTGCTATTCTGACATAGCCTGGAACATCATGTTTCACCATGTTCCTCAATGACGAGACTGCTGTATATACGTGAAGAATAATGGGTGCACAGATATCCTGTCTTTTCCATGAGCGGCAAGAATACAGTAAGTTGTATTTTTAGTCAGTGTGAAGCAGTGGTATTTTCATAAAATGCTTCTGAGGATATATCCGTAACACTGTTTTCACTGTTTTCTTTCTTTTTTTTTTTTTTTTTTAAATCTATTCCCCTACCCCCACCCCTTTTAACAGAGGTTTAAAAAGGGGAAAAGGAAGAGAGAAGACGTAAGAGAAAGATAAATCTAAACCAAGCTATACACTGAAATTAACTGGAGGATCCTTTCAACCTAGAAAATCTCCTAGAAATTGATAGAGGCCTACAGATAGATATCCCGTAGGGAGTAAGGAAAGCCGCTGTGTGTGAGACTCTGTGTTCCACATTGTTATAATGAATCCACATGGCAAATCCTCTTTTCCTCCTTATTTTCTGCTTCTTCACCCATAGAATTTATTCACAGCATCTCTATCTGGATGTGAAATCCAAGACAGTGACATTGTGAAAAAGTCAGAACAATGGTAAAGTTGGCTTGTTTCATCTGCTGCCTGGGAAACCCGCACACGTTTCATTTTCAGCTAAGTGTAAAACACACACAGATGCTTGATACTTAAATGGTTATTGAAATTCCTATAAATACTTAAGGCAACAAATTGAGTCATTCCCCTATCTCCAAATTAGCTATATAAAATGTAGCAACTAAATAAGGAAAATAATATAAAAGACAAAAGAAAAAATGGTAAGTACTTAATATTTATGTTACCTGATGAATAACATTTAGTCTCTCTAGTTTCTCCAGTTGCTGCTTGTTTGGTTTGTTGTTGTTGTTTTTAACTACAAACCAGCATAATTTTCTAGAAATGTGTGGCTTCTTAACTTTAACTCTTATTTGGCAAAGTAAGTGATTTATAAATATCTTATAGATTATAAGATTGGAACAGATTAAGAATATTATTCTAAACTGAGAAATGGCACAAATTGGTTACCTGCCTTTCTAGCCTCAGAATTTCATGCCAACACAGGACAATTTCATCATAGAGAAAGAATTAAGAGAAGAGGACAGTGAGTGCAAGAAGTGAAACAGCAAAACTATGAAGATGCTTTTACTTACAGAAAAAACATACAAATATTTTTGGTAAACCAACAAGTTAAAAAAAAAAAGACCTAAGCCCACCACTTTTTAACCTAAAGTAGAAAAGATGGGGTGAATAGATGGAGTAAAGGGAAATATTGCTTGTTATAATGAAAAGTATGTTTACCATCATCTTATTTGGGCCTCTTCCTGCATTTAAGAGAATAAAAGCAGAGGGCTATACTGAGATGGGTTTTAATGAAAGAATCAGGCATTAGCTTTTAAGCCTTTCAAGTGTCATACTTGGACAACCACAAAGTAATAATAGCAATTAGTGACACAGCCTTTAATATTTTGTCTGTCATTATCAAAAATAGCTTGGCTTGTACCAACATGGGAAGCAACAAGCTATAAACCATGGCAGGGGTAGGACAAAAATGCTGATGCTCAATAACTGATTGATGTAAGTATACCTGTCAGGTATGGCAAAAATTTTCATTTTGACGATATTCAGAATTGCATGTCAAAATGTTTGGATCAAAATCTTGCTATTTCTTTCTTAATTCCAGGAGTGCATTAATATGAAACCCTCAGCATCTATTATCAGGTTTCCATCATCTTATTTTCAGGAGCAGTGGTAGGTTATCCTTAAGTACTGAATTATTTAAACTGACCGAATTGTACCTTTCTGGTTTCACATGAAGATAAGATTTTACAATCTGTCTCTTTTTACCCAAAGTTACTACCCATGCTTGGAATTTAAATTATGGTTTATAATTCCCTACCTTGAGGGGAAGCAAAGATGGAGGCAGGATGTGGGAGAGGTGAGTGTGTGGCACGTGGCACGCTCACTGATAGCAAAACATTGATAGCAAAACACACTGATAGCAAAACATTGCTTTTCTCTGGTGTTTTTAAGCACTCTGAATATGTGCTCAAAATAACAGATACTAAATTGTTCCATAATGAACAGGATACTAAATTGTTCCATACCCCACTCACTCCCCACCCATTTAGGAGATTTGTCTAGCAACTGAAATATCTTATATTTTAGAAACTTTTTGCAAAGTTTTAACACTGTTTTTGGTATTACTTTCACATCCTTCCTTTGAAAGCCAGATATTCTGGATCACTCTTGTATGACTGGGTATGTGGCAGGGGAACAGAGATTGTACAACTAGCAGAATTTCTGATCTACTCAAATGACTTGAATAGCTTTTTCCTTTAAGATAAGTTATTGAAGTGTTAAAACGAAACAGCTTGCATCTTATTAACAGAGACTGCATACTGTTTGGAGTAATTTCTTCTTCTGTTTGAAGTCACCTGTCATATAACTCTGAATATACTAAGCATTTCTCCGTAAATGCCA